TTTATTCACGAAATCTAGTTACATTCGGAACACAACCAACCAAGCGCACTTTTATATAACGGAGTGCAGTAATCACGAAAACAGTAGTAAAAACGTAGCGTTTTCGGTATATCTCAATCAAATGGACCTCAAGATAAAATTTAATAACACTTTTTTTTCTGTCTCTTTCAATGAATTTAAAGCCATTTTTATGCCAGACTCACTTTCATATCACGATTTTACTACCAAGTTTCACTTTTGTCAACTCTTTCCGCGCCGTTTGCTTTTACGCTGAGCTTCAATTATCACCGGAATCTTAAATCACGTTTGAGTGTCTCGCTGAAATACTGACTCAGTGACGGTAGTATAATTTGCAGAGTCTTAAATGAGCAGCGATAGATATAGTTTTTGTGGCGATAAGGCGATTAACTCGTGATTACATGACACTATATTTCAAATCAATCGATTTAGCGACGTTTCAAACACTTTCATACGACAGATTGAATCAACTCAACAGTTGCTAATCAACTCGCTGATAAACTCGGAATGGTTTTAAGCGGATTTTTTAATTTGTCAACAACAATCTGTCAATATTAAAAATGTATTGTTCAATGAATTTTTGTGTAGATCGAAAAAAATTTCTGGAAGAAATTGAAATTTTTCAACGAAGAATTGAAAAAAACGAAAAAAAATTTAGTGTAAAAAAATTAAACGAAAAATCATGATGAATTAAAAAAAAAGCGTATGTTGAATTTGTTGACGATTTTTATGAGTTTTCTGTCATAAGCCCAACTCATGTACCTTCATCAGCTACAAATCCCCACTAAACGCATCAATTGTCGTCAAAATCGAGCAAATATTAAAAAAACAAACAAACAAACAAATTCCACGTCAATTGCCAAACAAAATGTGTCATAAAAATGTTGTTCAAACAGCTGCTTCGCCAAAAACGAAAAAAAAAAATGATGTGATTTCCTCTTCCAAATTTGAACGAGGAAATGTTTGGTAGACGGAAAGAGCCTTCGTGTTATCGTGTCACATATCGTAAAAAGGTATAATAAAAGTTACGCAAAAAGTCATGAGTAATTCTCTCGCTCGTGCGATATTTCCGTTTGTGTGCATATTGAAATGGAAACAGCTTCAAAACAAAATTGTAATTGTAAATCATGCGCGAGTACGGAAACCGTGTGAATGAACAAGAAACGAGAGAAAAATAGCAGAAAAAAAATGCAAATTCACATATATGTCTCAATGATGTGCGATTGTTGTATTATCGCTAGCGAACAAAAGAAGATGGTTTGTTTATGTTTTCGGTGCGGTTGAAATGTGCGAGATAAGGTCCATACGTGTGTTCCTCGCGTCAAGCCGTCATTCAACAATGCGAAGCACACATACAGAGAATTATGATGCAACACCGCCAGTAAAGTTCCGATTCGCATCATTAATTCGATTCCCCGACGCAAAATTTGCAATGGAAAATAAATCGTAGTCGATTTTACGGAGGTTTCTTTGATAAAACACTATTCAACGCTTCGATCACTTTGCAGTTTTTCACTGGATGGAAAAAAACTCATTCAGTTCTTCAATAACAACAACATTGAGTTCTTCAAATAGTTCAGCATTTCGGAATTGAAGTCTTCGTTGAAAAACTCTCTTCTTCATGAAAAAAAATGCTGAAAAACTGCAGTTTGAAGTTTAAAAGCGTCTCAACGAAATCGTGTTTAAAAAGAGCTTGTCACGAGCAAAGTAATGCTGTAGGAAACATTGAATGGTGGCAGATAAGCATCGACTGGATGGCATCGAAAATGGTAATTTCAGCTACAATAAACCGCTTATTTATCGAAATTTGTTTGAATGCGACCATGAATATGACGTTGAACTCATGCTAAATTCAACGGAATACCAAATAGCAATTGAATACTCCAATCATGAAAACTGAAGAGCGAATACTGAACTGATTCAATAGCATGAAAAAAAATCGGCTCAATACCGTAGCTCAAAATCACAATACTTTTTTTTCTTTTGATCTCACTCTTTCCCTCTCGTTGTTTTTGGTTCGTGTTTGATTCCCTCTCGTGACTTGTAGCTGCCACTTCGTTCTCTCTGTCTCGCAGCAATGAGCGTTGTTCATTGTTGGAATGTTTTTTGTACATTGTGTTTCTCCATGGTTCTTGCATGCTGCATGCGTATTTCAGCCGAAGGGAACAATGAACAATCAACTCTTCTGCTGAGAGCCAAGTGGAAACGAACCACATTTTTATGGATCAATAGTTTTGATTGTTCGAAATGAAACATAATACATAACTAATTCTATTTCTCTCTATCGAAAGAATAAGAGACACCCCACCAGAAACAATTAACAAAACGACACACCAAAAAGCAACAAAACAAGGCTTGACAGACGAAAAAAAATCAAGTCCAGATTGAAATGCCATTTATGGGTCACACAAAAACGGCTGAATATAATTGAGCGGCATACACCAACCAAATCAGGTGATTCATGCGTCGATGGCATTTTTGGAATGTTGCCGCAAAACAAAGTGGTGTTTTTTTGGAAAACGGCTTTACGATCAAGTGCATTCTTTATTGCGTCACGACTCGATTTGTTTTTTTTCTTCTTTCCATACATTGAAAAGGGTTTGTCGCTCTTTAGACTTTGGATTGGAATTTTTCAAGGTATGTTTTGTCACAGAAGGAATTTGACCTGCTGAATAAATTCATTTCGGTGCGTTTTATTGGAACAACGTGTTATTTTCACACATTTTTCAACACAGTTTATAGCTTTGGTGGCTTTCAACACATTTTACAATGGAAATTATGTGGGAAATTTCATAAATTCAACGAATCTGACAAATTTTTGGAATGAATTGAATGGCAGAATTAGAAAAAAGTGTGAAAAAATGAGTTTAAATAGAATGTAAAGCGAATTCTATGGGAAATTTGAACATTTTTGTCTCAGTTTTAGCTTGGAGTAAACTGGAATTACTAGCAATAGAACATGCTCAATTGTTGTCATTTTAGAGCTTCTAGTAGTGGTTTTGAAGGTTTCAAGATAGTTTTAAAGCCATTCTAACGTTCTAAAGAGACTCTCAGCGATTTAGAAAAAGAGCGTGCTTTTTTCAATATTGTTTCTTTAGACAATTCTCGCCTTTTGTCACAAATCGATTCAAATACTTCTTTTCATCTTATCAATCGATTTTCTTGCGTTCTGCATGCGATTTCATTTCAATATTTTGCCATCTCTTGGCCTATTTCCTTCTCAATTTATCATTGCCTTTCGCCTGATCTCTGATATTAGATCTCGATCGTCCTAAAAACATCTTAGTTTGTTACATCTGTACCTTGACTGTACATCTCCTCCCATCACAGCTCTCTTTCGCTTTTCTCAAACTTTAATTAGTTTCTTGTTAATTTTTTCGCCACTCCAAAGGCACATCATTCATATTTCTACGTCATATCAAAGTAACCGAACATTCTCTTCAAAAAAAAAAAACTTTATTACGAACAAAAACGATCCATTCGCAAAAATCGATTGTTTGTGATGAATCCACGGGCTCAAACAAAGCTATTTTAGCACTGACACATGTTTCGGTTTATGATAAATGAATCACAAAAAATCCATCGATTCTCTTTTTGTCTAACTTCGTGATGAAAAAAAAAACGTCAGAATCTAAAAAAGCGATGGTTTCATCCAGGTCATGCGATGATGACTCACTTGGTTCCATTCAATGCACGGCATCATTAGAGTGATCTGAATGGAATGACATCATTTGTTTGAATGCGATCATTGATATTGTACAACCACAATAGCGGCGTTCGATGAAAAAGCGATAATTTTACTATTTCCGCAATATAACGGCGCTCCAATCGACTGTTTCAACTAGAAATCACCACGATTCTACTGGATTTGCATGAAGTGTGTGAGAAAAATGGAGCAAAATAAACAATGTGGTCGTTTTAGAGTGGCACGAAAATCGATTTTACATAGCCACCGCTGACAGATAGCGGTCACTCGATCGCTAATTTATGGAATAATTTCGGGTGAAGACATAATACAGAGATGGATGAGACAATGTTTTAAATTAGGTGTTTAGAGCATGCTCAATTTAGAGTGTGTGAAGTGACCTCCGGCGGATCAACAAACAATTGAATCACACCTCCGGCGGAGTTTTCAATTATGTTTAGGGAAAGCATGAAACGAAAACTAATCGTGAGCAACAGTTCGTCGCTGTGCCTAGGGGAATTTAACTCTTACGAGTTCAGCATGTTTTCTGCCAGTTTGCTTGATTCGCGGAAGTTCGACGCGTTCGTTGTACGTACTGACGCGCACGGTCACAAGTTTACACAAGTTTGTTTATGGTTTTGCGCGTTTTTCAAGTTGTTATTTGACAACTAAAACGCGTTACAAACTAAAAATTGGTTGTTTACGTGTATAAAGATTTTTCACATCCTTTCCAAAAGTTCAAAGATTTATATAAATATAAAATGGACAAAGGAAATATTTTTAAAGAGCTGGAGAAAGTGTTGGAAGAAAAAGTTAATCCAGATAGATATAACAAATGGAACGACTGATGTGTGCGCGTCGTCCAGCTTCATGTTTGCACACGAACTCGCACAAGTTCGCGCATGTTGTTTTAATACGGAACTTGTCAACTGAGTGGAATCATGCAAGTTCTCTGGTGAATGAAACAATTTCGTGCGCGTTTATATCATTTTTTTACAAGTTTTCACGTAGTTAAATCCCCCTAGCGCTGTGCACAGTTCATAAGCATTTTTCAATTATTGAATTTTTTTTACCTAAAAGCCAATGGTTCAATTCGACTATAAAATCATTTACAACAGCTTTAGCATAAATTACGGTTTTGAAGCGAATATCGTTGTGCAAATTACAATATATGTGTGAGAGTAAATAAAAGCAATGATCATTAGTCGACACTCGAGTGGCTATGGCCACAAAAGTCCCCTCAAAATAAATAACCCATGCAAATTTGGTTCGTGTTGGAATTTGACGCTTCATTTACCTGCGTGATTTGAACGTTTGTCGGAACACCGTGATTATCTCATCGAAACTGAATCTGAAAGCAAAAGAACGAAAAGCATTAATTTAAATGTGGAAGTGGATCTGTTTTTTTTCTCTTCAAGTGTTTTATTCTTAGGTGTAAATTACAAAGAATTGAAAAAAGAGCGAACGAAAGAATTCGTTTCAAACGAAACATTCTTCAATGGTTTGTTAGAACACGATGGAAACGAATAAAAGAGCAACGGATGATTGAACAATTAGGCAATTTTCCAGCTGATTGCAGTCCATTATCATCTCAACTTCCTTACGCTGAGCCATGGCACCATGGTTCAGATGAAAACGGTGGGAATTCTTCAGCTTTTTCGCGCTGGAGTGAACTTGAACTTTTGAAACTGAAGCAATTCAGCAAGATTCTTTGCCCAAAACAACGAAAAGTGGAAGAAAGAAGATAGATTTTGTTCAGCAATTTGCCATTTTACACATTTGACTATGTTCATCATGATGTTCATTCAATCGTTTTGCAGCGGAAGAGCGTCTTTAGAGTATAATCTTTTAAATTAACTTCGGAATTTGCTTTGGGCGCTACTTTTTCTATCGGTTTTGCTTCTGAAGTGAAAAATGTGTGTATTTTTATTGATCTTCAATTGATCACAAAACTAATTTGATTTGATCGTTTGAAAAGATATTTCCAATTGAAAAAAATTATCAAGTTGAATTGAGTTAAATAATATTCGTAAGATTCTTCAACAAAAGTTTAAAAAAAAACTTCGTTCCGGATTTTTAATTCTATTTTATTCAAAACCGCAATTTTTAAACCTCTCGGTGTGAAGACTTTTTCAAGACTCACTTCAAAGAGTGTAGCCAACGTAATAACTAAATCGCAATGAAAGCGGGAAGAAAATGAATAAAACTCATTCTGCGCACGAATGAAAAAAATAATCTCATTTTCAAAAGAAAAATGCAAAGTGAATTGAAATCGTGAGGGCCCTGCTTGCTTGTCGATCACGTAATAAATGATATAAATAAATTCAATTGGACATTTTTTGCCAATGCGATCGAAAGAGAGAATTGAAAATCGCATTGAAATTGTTTCGCTTTCTTCGGACGTGCTCTCAGCTTCATCAGTGTTCAATCCTCATCATCTCGAGCAACGATTCGTAAGCTCAGCTCACTGAAGTTGAACTCTCGCGATGCTTCGGCTCACATGAAAATTCATTCTGCGACGAGCGAAGTAACAAAAAAAAACAAATTCAACGCTTTTTAATTTGCAAGGTACGGAGTAGCGTAATTATTATTGGTACGCCATCGAGCAAAACGGCTCGCGGTGGTTCATCGATGCGATTGAGTTGGCATCATGTGCAAAAACAGAACTCCATCAAGTCATTGAATTCTATGGAAAGTTGATGTTGATGTTTTTCTTCTTCTTCAATTCGAGAAATTACTTAACTGACGGTATCTTCATCATCTTCAGGTGGCTGATGGGCTCATGTGTTATAAAATTAATGGCATTTTGATTTGTGTGTGTTAGTTTGTGTTTGCTCGATGAGTACAGTTAAAATGATGTGATCACTTTGCGCTAAACAGAATCGAATTAAACGGTACACAACGAAAACCATATGCCATTGTTATGGAGCAAGTTGTTGTGTGTTTTGTTTTCTTGCCTTTTGCACGAACACCACACCGGTCGTGGTTGTGCTCTTGTTTGATGTCGCCCATTCTCAGCTCGATAACTCTTATTAGGCTTGGTTCGGTATTATTCGAATTTGTTCAGTCTTACTAATACCTAAATTAATGCGTTAGCTGTTGTTCGATTTCAGTTACGCTTGTTCAAATTTGCCAACTCTCATTCAGCAGTCTGACTTAATCTCCCTAGTTCTTTTCACTCTAACACGTTTGGGATGCGAATATGATTCAGCGCACTCTTAGGCTATTTCTCTACCTCAACCTTGCTTTATTTCTCGCTCTACCTCACTCTTGTTCTACTTCTCACTCTTTCTATATCTTGTTTCGAATCAATTTTTTGTCTCTGCTCTAACATCTCGGTACTTTGGCTCTAAGTCATGCTTTGCTTCAATTTGAGCTATCGATCAGCTCACTTTTGTTCGTCATCGTCAAATCATACTCATTATACGACGTTGATTTTCAAATTATTGCGATATATTTGCTCATTATTCCATTCAAATGAGCTCCATCAAAACAACATACTCAACGCAAATTGCGCAAATGCTTTGAAAGTCGATATGCCATTACATGAACAACATCATAAATTACATTGTATGCTTCGCATACCAAATCGGTTGGGGTCCATTTAATATCGAAATTATCAAAATTCATGCCCATTCTGTTCGCAAGCACTCATTGGATTATGAAGCGATTGAAGCGGCAGGAAAAGACATTTTATTTGATATTATGGTGCTTTTTTTTAGTTGGTTAACCAACTTACAATAAAAAAAAATTCTACTACTTTGTAACCGTTTTTGTGCATACAACCATACAATAGGTTTTTTCTGTGTTTGTGCAACAAAGTTGTCAATTTTTCAACGTTTTTGAATATTTTTGGTAATTTTCCTCCTACAAAGTCGCATTGACAATTTTTTATCTAAATTATCAAAGTTTTAGTCATTTTTTTAATACTTTTTGATCAACTTTTGATTACTTTTCAATAATTTTCGTCATTTTTCGTCATTTTTCCCCATTTTTCATTATTTTCATTCGAATTTCGAAGAAAATTCGGTAGAAAACTCAATTTCGTCTATTTATGTGTAAAACTCTTTGAAATGTACACAAAAGTCAAACCAAAAAGTTGAATTTTTGAAACAACTAATTAAGTTATATAATTGCGTGCAAAAAATGTGCCAAACGCATTGCCAAAAAAGTTAATTTATTGTAGAATTCTTTTGAAAAAACCCAAAAGAATGTTTCACTTATTCGATGAATTCTTACGAATTATGTTTGTTCAATGAATGCCAAAGAATTTCCGCCTTTGAAGAGTCCAGTTGTTTTTCGTTGAAGTTGTGTGTCGATTTGTTTACTCAAAAAAGCCGATTTCTCCAAAGTTTGCGTGTTTTTGTGTTGACCTTTTTTGTGAGCCGGAGCTATAAAAAACACATATCGTGTTTTGCGATTTTTGCTTTATTATATGCGAACATATCATTTTTGGCGATTCGGTGTGCAAAACACGCACAGCCAATTTCAATGGGCTAAAACAAGAGCTGAAGAAATCTGGCTGAAATCGAGTGTATGCACATAGAAACCATCGATTGGCTTGACCTCAAAACGGAACGAACAAAGCGAGAAAAAAAATTCGCGCACGAACTGAAAATCCAATGCGCAGCCAATGCGATTTGATGGGCTTCGGTCAGCCGACAAAAGAAACCAGACGAATGAAAGAAAAAAATGTTATGAATCGAATGACAAAGTCGCGACATTTCTGGCTTTTGGTACGCTCCAAATGTCAACCAAACTAAAGCAAACATCATATTCCGCTACAAATATCGCGACTCTATCAACGAATTTGTCGCGTGAGTCTTTCCAATCAAAAAGAGACACCGTTTCACTGATGACAATCGAAAGCGTGCACGTTTTGGATCGATGCGTCCAGCACCACACATGTGAGTTGTACTATCCGAAAATAGCTCAAAAATCCATATATATATGCATCGGTTTCGAGCGGCAAAGACGACACACAATCGCATTAACCCATCGTGTGGAATAATTGCACGCGGTCGCTATTGTTTACCATTTCATTTTGTTCAGCGCGCGCGCGCGCTTGTCTTGCGTGCATACTTTCTCTTCGGTTTTCTCTCTATTGCCGCACAATCATTGTTCGTTGCCGTGCACTCTTTTTCTCGCTCATTCGTTCGTTCTGCACTTTGGCTGCGGCATTTTGCATTGAATTCGCTACCACACACTATAACATGTAATTTACGCTCTTTCTCTCTGCCTCTGTACCAGGCACAACAACGACTAAGCGTTATCGAACGGTATTCATTGGAATTGACACACGACAACGAACAATTGACTCTTCGCATCACACAAACCTAATTGCGTGCAGGTAATGAAACAACATATTCACACAAAAACTTTTCAATGCGACTTGGTCCAATCGCAATCGCTTCTAATTTTAGACCATTTACGCTTCCACCACCGTTTTCTAACCGATACAGGTCAAACGTTGACGTTCTGTTTTCCTTTTCTTTCTTCGACTTTTTCGAACTGTTTTAATTAGTTTTTGCTGTTTTGCCGATTTTTAAACGATTTCCCATTGTTTAATGGCTTGCGCTCTGTTCAAAGTGTATTCATAGTGAAATTTTACACTCTTTGTTCTTTGCATTGGAGTAGCACAAATGTTGTTACCGCTAAAGTCAACTTTGCTTCTCAAAGAAGCACATTTTGAATGAATTTTAATGGGTCGTCTTTTGTTATTGGTTAACTTCATTGCGACAACGATCGTCAATCAAAAGAGGAATGAAGAAATTTGCTTGACGTGGTTTCTTCGAATTGAACTTTTTTTCACTTCAAAAAATGCGAGTACTTTTTCCTTGTAGCAACTTTGCTACTGATAAAACAATTTCAATTGAGAAAACCCTGAAGGTTTGCGCCATAAAATTTGAATTCTTTTAGTTTTGTCATAAAATTTGACGATTTTTATGATCGTTCTGCAATGAAAATATGAAAGCGTTTATTGGTCACGACTGATTAGTGAATTCTTTGCAACATGAATGTTTCAATGGGTTCCAACATTCATCCAAAGACAATAAACAGCTAAATTGGCTCAAAAAGAATGCAACTAATGTTCGAAAACAGAAAAAAACAACAACATTTAATTCCCTCGGCTGGGCATGACGAAAACATTTGCATTTTATTACCAAAAAAGCAATTTTGGGAATCTTTATGAATGCAATTTGAAATGGGTGAAACAGAAACCTCCCCAAAAATTACTAAAACCTCCCCAAAAAATACCAAAACCTCCCCAAAAATTACTAAAACCTCCCCAAAAAATACAAAAACCTTCCCAAAAAAATACGAAAACCTCCCCAAAAAATCGAATGTTTTCCACAAAATCCTTCCCAAAAAACACCAAAAAAATACAAAAACCTCCCCAAAAAAATACAAAAACCTCCCCAAAAAATTACAAAAACCTCCCCAAAAAATACAAAAACCTCCCCAAAAAATACAAAAACCTCCCCAAAAAAATACAAAAGACTCCCCAAAAAATACAAAAACCTCCCCAAAAAATCAAATGGTTTTCACAAAATCCACATATCGGTTCCTGAAGTAATGTAGGGAATTGAACTAGCTTTCATTTGATACCTTACGGGCTACAATTGGTTAGCTGAATGGAAAGTTTTTTTCTGTTCATGTACTGCTGTAAAAAAAATAAGAAATTATAGCAAAATTTCACATTTTTCCTCCATCTTGTGTGTTTGTACATTCTTTTCAATTGTCAAATTAGGACTCGTAGGACCAAAACACATCAATTTAACTATCTGCATCATTAGTTTTATGAAATTTAATTTTTTCGAGCTGTTATAGCGATTTGACACTTTTGACTCTTTTCCGATTTTCTCGACAAATACGCAATTTTGCAAAAATCTAAGTATGAGTTTCTTCTCTATATATCGTGGCACATAACATATATCAAAATCAAAACAAAGTGAAATAAGAAGACTTCAAATCAATTGCCTTTTCATTTAATTTTTTTTATTAAACTTATTTTAACTACAAAATACAAATTATGACGATGAAGATAAATGATCTAATGTTTGTTATTATTTTCTTGTTTTTTCGGCCGAATCTGGTTTACCAGAAATCTTGTTCATTCACAAAAAACTCATCGCCAAGAAAAACGTCATGAAACTTTCCCATTGCCTTCACTTTGATAGCTTGAATTGTTTCGTAGTTCGCGAAGCGCACGTCGTCAAGGAGTTCCATATCCACCTTCGCCCGCAATTTGCATGCGATGGTGAGACCTGGGTATGAAAATTCCTCTCGAAACTCTCTTATCGCCGATTTTGCAACAGTTTCTGTTATGCCAAAATCAATAAGCCCGACCTGTGCGCGATCATTTGATAGTTCTTGTTGGTACTGCGCGCGATACCAACATTCAACACCGTCTGGATCTGGGTGGGAAACCAAACAAAGTTCGAGATTTAGCGGCGAATATGTTGGTTTTCGATTCAAATGACAACGGCCGAACTCGGTCAGTCCAGCGAAACGGCTCACAAATTGTTGTTCATCGCTTTTCAATACACAGCTGATCAATCCACGATCAAGATGTTTGTTCTCGACAACGAACAATGTGAGGTTGTCACCATCGATATTCTTTTGCTGAATATCCGAAATAAAGAATTTCTTCTTAATTCCAACTGAACATTTGCTTGTGATTGACTCGTCGTTCACAAGGGACATTAGATCGACCACAGCATTCGGATCTATTGCGCAACTTAACGAAGTGATTCGAAAACGATTATGGCAATACTTATTCAACTGCAGAATGACGGCCGATTTATCGTCTTCAGAGAGGTTCTCGGGCATGTTCAACGTAACTGGAATGCACAATCGATGTGTTTTGGTCAAATCCGATGAACTGTATCTTATATCGCTAGCCATTGCAGTAATCACATCTCCCATGTCCACCAATTGAATTTGAATTGTATCGGAGACACTTTCTACGACAAAACCTCGGAAAAAGTCGGCCGAATGTCGAACCAAAACCACGTCATTGGTTTTCAATTTGATCGTGGGCAAAAGATCTTGGTGCGTGGATGTTCCATTTATCGTTGTCATAAGCCGTACGAACTGCCCATCATATTTCACTGGCCGAACAAATACTTTTCGATAGTTTTGCACACACGACAACTCGACTATAATGGCTTCATAATGTCGACGCCTGAACTACTACGAAAGGCATCAAACTTTGAAACAATATGCGTCGACGCTACGTATAAGTTAAATTGGCATGGCTTTCCATTGATAGTCTTCGGTACTGTAGATAGGCTAAAACGCTTCCATCCAGCAGCTTACGCTTGTACCACAAATGAGAAAACGGCCGATTATGAGTTCGTCTTCGAGACCATTCGAGACTGTATTGAAGTATTCTTTGAAAAAGAGTTTAAACCAAAAACTATGATCGCCGTCAATATTGTCTACCCTTTGGTGTCGTTTTGATCTTTTATCGTTCACTAGATTTGTCTTGATTTTTTGGGGAGTCTTTTGTATTTTTTGGGGAGGTTTTTGTATTTTTTGGGGAGGTTTTTGTAATTTTTGGGGAGTCTTTTGTATTTTTTTGGGGAGGTTTTTGTATTTTTTGGGGAGGTTTTTGTATTTTTTTGGGGAGGTTTTTGTATTTTTTGGGGGAGGTTTTTGTATTTTTTGGGGAGGTTTTGGTATTTTTTTGGTGTTTTTTGGGAAGGATTTTGTGGAAAACATTCGATTTTTTGGGGAGGTTTTTGTATTTTTTTGGGGAGGTTTTGGTATTTTTTGGGGAGATTTTGGTATTTTTTGGGGAGGTTTTGGTATTTTTTGGGGAGATTTTGGTATTTTTTGGGGAGGTTTTAGTAATTTTTGGGGAGGTTTTTGTTTTACCCATTTGAAATGAGTTTATGGTTTGGCAAATATTTTAATCTCATTTGAATGCTTTGCATCGAACTTCAGTTCGCACTGCACACATATCTGTGCAATCGGCTTTTAAAACGTACAATTCCATAAAACACCGGCCTATTTATGACTTTATATCTCTTTGCGTCTTTGCCTCAATGAAATGAAATATAAACTGTTACTCTGGTCCTTTGTACTGCATCCGGTATGCAAATGACCCGCTCGAGAATGTGTTTACTCTAATCCCATAATCCAATCAACTTTTGACGAGAGGCTCAATTGAGCTCAGGCTTTTCTTAGAACAAAACATGTTCAACAATGAAGAATCCACTTATATGTGAGTCACACTCATTGCGTGTTACATGAGAATAACGATGTGTTACACAGCAAAGAACAGTGAACTGTTACCAAACAAATAATAATGACCTGAACTAATCACATTTGAGGTAAAGACAACACCAAGAATGTTACTGTATGCAACTTAGGTACGGTAAGGTGAAAAGAACAACAGACAAGAACAAACGGATTAAAGTAATGAGCTTCTTAGAATAAATGGATTAAATCCAGAGTGGTTTCTTTGAAATTGTACCAAGCAAACAGCTCAAAGAAGTTGTAGTTTCACTTAAGTCATTCGAAAGAACACAAAGAAAGGCATTCCAATGAATTGCCTACGAAGTGAAGACAGGTAATTAGAACATTTTATGTATAAAAGACAATGGGATGACCCACAATTGCACAGTTCCCATTGAATGTTCACATAGAGCACATGTCAAAGAGAAAAAAAGGAAGAATTTTTTGAAAGACAAAGTGAAAATAGACAGCGAAGCAATTTCTGTGCGAAGTTGGCAATTTGAGAAATTTTTCGGTAAAAATATCAAACAATAACAATATAAAAAAAATTAAACGCAGACAAATTGTTCAAAGATTGAAAAAAAGATTTGAAAATTGAGAAAAATTGAAGTAAAAGAAAAAAAGTGAAACAAACTTATCGTCAAAAGATGTTTCTCTGTAAACTTTGCGTTATTTCAACTTTGCTGTGCTTTGCCATGACAAGGTCGATCGATATGAGTCCATCGGGTCGATTAAAAAGTATCTCATCCCGAATGGATCAAGAAAAAGATCAAAGTAACGACTACGTGGAAAAAATCGCTGATATTTTCGATTTGCCATTGAAAAACGATCGTCGAGTGAATTTAGAAAGCTGTGAGAATGTCGTCTGTATGCCTCATTACCTCTGTATAAATGATATGGTGGTAACGAATGGCACGGAATTATTCGAGTGGCGCATTTCTGAAAAGTTGGTGTGTGGTAACCTTGAGATGCCGTGTTGTGCTGATGATGCTATGAAATACTTACATAGTGCATCAAATGAGGATCAAAGTGAAGAGATCGATTCGTCCGAAGACCATGAAGACGAAAACGAAGTGACTGACGAAGGAACAGCCTTAAACGAAGGAAAATGTGGTTATCGCAAGCAACAAAATACAGCTACTCGAATAATCGATGGCGATGAGGCTCAACCGAACGAGTATCCATGGGTGGTTGGCATTTTCTTTCGTTTATCATCTGGAAATTTGCGTTACATCGGCGGCGGCTCATTGATTCACGAGTCGGTGATTATGACAGCTGCACATTTCCTGTTACAACTAACACCAGAACAATTGGTGATTCGAGCGGGTGAACATGATATTTTGGATACAACCGTCGATAAAAAGCGTCAAGAACGAAATGTAACGAATATTATTTTGCATGAAAATTTGGATGCAAACTCGCTTATTAATGACATTGCTTTGATTGTGCTTGAGAAATCGTTCAAATTGACCGAGGCTGTGAATACCGTTTGTTTACCACCGCAGAGCGTTCAAACCGACAAGAATGTTATGTGCACTACTGGCGGATGGGGCAAAAATGCCGCCGATCGACATGGAAAATATCAAGCGAAACTGAAGAAAGTTGACCTGCCAATTGTTGAACGCGGAAAGTGCGAAAATCTGCTGAGAAAAACACGATTGGGACCATACTATAATCTGGATAACAGTTTGATGTGCGCTGGCGGTGGCAAACGAGATACTTGCAAAGGTGATGGTGGATCACCATTATTTTGTAAAATTCCACATGACAGTGAACGATTCTATCAAACTGGCATCGTAGCTGGTGGCATCGGATGCGGACGAAAAGTACCAGGGATGTACGTGAATGTCGCACATTTCACCAATTGGATCTCACAACAACTTGGATTCATAAACTTGCACTTGAAGCCACAGAATGTATTGCAGTATGAATTGTTTGATTGAAGCGATGAGAAGAGGCAACGGGAAGGAGCCATTTAGTAAATCTCAATGGCGTAAAAACGATTGATTGAAATGCTAGGGGGTAGGAACACAAGCGCTTGAGACGAATTCGTACGAATATTCGTGAATTCTTGTGATTGTGTATACGACACATTCGCAGCGCAGTGAGTTTACAACAACAATAACAAAGCCACGAACGCATGAATATATGCGAATACATACGAATGACACAACTTGTTCCTAGCCCCTAGTTGAAATGTAAATATTCAAAAATTAACCAAACACGATTTAAAATTTAGTCAATTTAATATAAGTTAGAATTGAAATCAACAAAAAATAGTAAGTTCGATTTAAGTTCAATTAAAAATTAGCTTAAATTTAGCATCTTCAGTTTAAGCTAGAGTCAAAATCGAATTCAGTTTGTATCTTTTCAAAGTATTTAAATAAAAAATCTGAGTAAAAATATAAAAATTCATGGGTTTTTAATGAGAAAATAACAAGTTTTAGGTAAAAATTGGCTTAATTATGTTAGAAAAATTAACAGATGATTTTTTTTTGAAAATTCACCTTTTTCGCTCAAAAGCAAATCGTTTTTCAGGCATAAAATCCTAATTTCAGTCAAGAAATAAGCTTTAGGGCCCAAAAACTATTCAAGTGCGAATAAATGTGCTAATGGTTCAAAATGGAATTATTCTCTTGAATCTGATCGAAATCGAAACTTCGCTTTTTTTCTCCTCACAATGAAGTGAACAATTTGCTCGAAAGAAAAATTAGTGTTGCTGTATAAAATACCGTTCGCATCAAATATCGCTACCGTTGAATGAAAAATGACTGTTGGCAAAAGGAAAAGTTGCGCTACAATTCAATGCGAAATTCGAATTTGATTTCAAATGCCGGTAATCGAAGAATGGCATGAAAAATGGTTTTCAAACTCCGTTTTCCCTTTTTCCCGTTCAACGTGAAAAATGGATAGATATTCTTCAGCATCATAATCATTGAGTGATTATCGAATTAAAAGTAATAATCGGGTTGTAGTATACGTTATGACGTTGCCGGCGATTGATGTGCTTAAATTCATTACAAAAGTCGGAATGAGCATTGAGCAACAATTGAAGTAAAAGTGAAACTCTAATGAAATCATTTCGCATGGAGAATCGCATCGCTTGTCCATTTTTGTTTGCAAACATTCATTAATTGTGCGGAGTGTGTGATGCTGTGACATGAATTATGTGGCACAACGGAAAAAATTTGATCCAACAAATTAAAATCTGAAGGAAAAAAATGAGTTTTTGATGATATGTTTTCGGTATATCACGTGTAAGCAATTTGCCTGAAAAGAAAAATCGCACGCGTCGAACAATGGCAACAGAACGCCCATCAGCTAAACACGGCATTTTGTACTTTCTTCGCGGCAAACGAACGAACCAACACACCAAAAGCCATGAGAATAAAAATGAAAATGCTTCAAAAGAATGCGCGATTATGCTAAACACTCGACACACAGCCTTATATTATATATATTTTTAAATTTCATTAACGATGCGCTAAGCACATCTCATCTTCTTCGCTGCGTGCAGTTTATTTTTAAATGTTAATTCGAAAAATTACGCAAATTAACATCAACACTCGAGACGTCGCAAGAAAAACGAGTTTTTTTTCGAGTGTTTCTGCGCTGTTTTCTTTTCTTTTAATATCTCATGTTTTGTATGCAAACGTTTTTGCATGCGTTGCCATTTTCGGCGAAACAGACCTACGAAACGAAAGAGAAACTAAACGATAGAGTATTTTTTGCGTGAATTGACTGGAGATTTACAGAGTTGAAAATTTATTTTTGAGTCATTAAAACTGATTAAAGGCGTTTCAACCAACAGAATCCAAATTGATTAACATCATTATGTCATTTTCGAGGGTCAGCCACCCGGTTTTTGAAGGTGCACGAGCTTAAAATATGCAGTGTTATGCGATACGGCACGTTGCAAGTGTGATTAGGCAAACTATTTGATGAAAGCGAAACAGAATAAAATCGATTTATCATTTATTTATCACTAGCCACACTCGGCTTGACTCGGCATGGATATAAATATTAAAAATGATGTTTTTTCTGCCAGATTGAAGTGGCTATTGGGAATTCCAACGAAAACAAATCACAAAGATGAACGGAAGACAGAAAAAACGGACAAAATATGTTGAAAATGATAATAAAAACTGAGAATTGCTCGTTTATATGGAAATTTTTGATGCTATTGAGTTTGCTATGGAGTTTTGATGATATTGAAAAACGTAAAACCTCTGACAAAATGCCAGTTTTTCTTTCTCTCTTCAAAAGCGTGCTGTTCAATTCATTTAAAAGACGCAACGCATTTCGTACTGCGATAAAAGCCTATATAAACAATGTTATTATATTTTACGATATTTGACTCGATGTCAATGACGATGTGGCAGCGCCACCTATAGAGATTCCTTATTAAAATAAGTGGAACTATTGAGTGCATGCACCATATCGCACGTAAATTTTCAATATGGCAGCGCCCATCGAATTGAAAAGTTAACCGATTTCGTAGTCACAAATTATCGCTGTACGACGCATTTATTTTCGTCTCAATCCATTGTAAACCCCGAATACATTTTGTTCAAAACTATTTAATCTAATCTCCGTGACGGAAACGCACAGTCAAACTCATCGCGTCGATAAGAAACCGTTACTTGAAACTGTCAACTGATAAGCACTAGCTCTTTTCGCCGAAAGTGTCTTTGTATTTGCTATTGGTGAATTATCTATCTTTATGAACATGTGTGTTTGCCTGTACTTGTATTTGTTCCTTCACTCAAGCCAGAACTGTCTATACGTTTTTGGAGTGTTTGAAGTGGAAATTCCGTCCGCTTCATGACGATTCAAAGCGTAATAAAACAGAAATAACGTACATGTAAAAAAGCGAATGACCCAATCGCGTCACCGTAAATCAATAAATCTCGCTCTAATGATGGCTTTGCGAGTGCTCCGAACTGAATAAATAAAGCACGAAATTCGATTTTGTATCGTGCACGACACACTACCGACTCACATGCAACTCGGTCATTTTCCACCGATTCATTATTTAAACACTGTTTAGAATACATTTAACTAAATATAACGAACAATTGCTGCCATATTAATAGGGGATATCAATCATATGATGTACGTCAATTTGCGTGAGAATGACGCAAAATGATGGAACAATTCAACGATTCCACAGCTGAACAAAGTGAAAAGTCAACATTTCTAATTTTAATTGTGCTCGCAGTCAATAGAAATGGTAACAAATGTGAGACAAGATTATAAATGACAAGAAGAGTCACAAGAAATGGCAAAATAGACATGATAAATGATAAAACTTTTTTTAAAATGTGGAAAAAATGGCAACAATTAGAGGAAAAAATTACTTAATTATGCACAAAAATAGCAAACACTGGAGACAAAACGTATTTAAACAAACCCAAATGGTATTTAACATGCACAAAAACGGAATTCATATGCAAAATCTAACATTTTGCATATGAATTTAGTTAGATTGAATGCAAAGCGTTGCCAAAAACTGATGAAAACATTCGAAAATTCGACAAAAAAGGAAAAAAGTATGTTGAATTAGGCACTAGCTGGATTCAATATCTGTTAGGAAACGACTTGAACCGGTAAATTTCGTACTATTTTGGCTACAAAGTCTCTAAAAAATGAGAGAAAATATTGAACATGGCAAAATAATCCGAAAAAGACAAGCAAAATGTTATAAAAATGGTGCAAATTTAAACAAATTTTTGAGAAAAAATTCATGAATTGGTGCTATTAGCAATGGAGATGTTGAAATTGATACACATAATTTCGGCAGAAATGTCGATTTGAATCGTCCTGCATACAAACTTATAAAAAAATTGGGTGATTTTGTTTGAAAAAAGTCGAACGAAGCGTACGCTTGGGAAAAAAACGTTTTTTCTCCTTAAATCAAATTTTTTTTAGTGTATTTCACACTTTTGCTATATGACAGCACGTTCAGTAGCTCAGTCGTTCATTCGTTCGCTCGTTCACTCATCTACTTATTCACTCGTTTACACAGATGAGCCGATTATGAACAGTGATCTGTTTCATTTACATCTTGTGATCTCTTTCGTTCATTCGTTCGTGCATCGTCACTTTGTTTATTCGACCGAGCGGTCGTTTTTAATATGCGCTATGTTTATGAATACTTTTTTTCTACACCGTTCAGTGTATTTGTTGTTGCTATCCACATTGCGAATGGTCGTGGAACGAGTTGTGAGCGTGACTGAGAGACAATATCATGTTGTTAACTGTATCATCGATGGGAGCGAGGGAGAAAGAGACTCGTAGAGAAGAATAAAATATTCCAGCACACAGCCGATAATTACTCGATTCGAACAAACGAAGAAACGAACAAAGCAACAGAAAAAAAACATTTGTGTTTGCTAAATGAATGATAAAAACCGAACCGCATGGTTAGCATGCCATACACAGTGACGTACATCGTCTATGTGTTTTCATTCCACTTCTCTTTGTGTGTGTGTATCAATGAAAGACTCACTTCTTTGGCTGTGTATGTGTTCAAAGTGAACCATCCAGTCCACCAGTGTGTCACATTCTAGCATAAATATTTGATGCGTATGTGTTTGATTGAAGAAAAATTTCACTTAAACTGATTTTGTTTTTCCGTATTTAGAGTAAACAATTTGTTCACCTTGTTCCACTAGCCGAACAATAACAAAAAAAACTGACTGTCAATTTGGGTCGCCATCGATCGTAGCCGCACACTGGAAAATCCTGTACTCAATACGGAATTCGCGGTGAATTTGATAAATATACACTGAATGCGATAACAAATCTACTCTCTCTCTATACCCAACTGTTTACCGAGTCTGTATGAATGACTCATGAAATTGCTTATTTCAGAAAATGTTTTTCTTTATTCCACTGGCTTTTAATTGTCGTTTCATAACACACCAAATTCAATTTTGTTGTTGCCCATGTGTGTTTCATTACATCAGCTGAAATTTCGTCAAACATTCAAGTTTTTCTTTTTCGTTCACTCTCTCGTCTGTTTTGCTTTCGCTTTTTCTATATTCTCTTTCGTATTCGATATACAATGCGACGCATTGATTTTCGATTCTCAAACATATTTGTCGGTCAAATCAAAAGTCAAGGTAAGAATTTCATTTTTCCCACGAACATTTCTTTCTGGGTCGAACTCAATTTTTCACTAAAACGACAAATTGAATGATGATATGTTATCATTCGGTGTACCGAATTTCATGGCTTTTAAAAATGCATTCTTCTCGACACGGGCGTGCAATCGTTTGTATGGATTTCATCGCGCTAGAACTAGGCCAAGAACTTTCAATAACATGCAATCAAACTCTATCAATTTTTATGAACTATTTCATCGACACACTTTATTTATAACCAATTCGACGACGGTCGAGTTTTATTCACGCTAAGTTTTTTTTGTTAGACAGGTTCGATTGAACAAGCTTCGTTTTAAGGCAGAATTGATGGTAAATTCACGGCATGAATTTCATACAAATCGACAGAAATATATCATGCATTTTTCATTTGTTTTCATGATCATTTTTATCAATTTGTTTTTCAACTTTTTTGGTCACTGTTCCGTAATTTCCCGAAGCAACTTTGCCAAATCACTGAAATAATCGACCGTCGAGTGTTGACAGTATCTCTCTGGTGATTACACAGTGCATTAGCGCAAGACACTTGTTATCGTTGTTGTAGCCTGCTTTCGGTATAAAGCACCGTTCAACCAAATGTCAATATTTCCCTTTGACTTTTTGTTTACCTCTTTGAGCATCGATTTTTGCTATCTAAACCGAAAGTTGGGACACAAAAAAACTTCAATTGAACTGAAAAATTGAAAAAGAATTGAAAACTACTGTTTTTTCACTCGAAGATTGAAAGATGTTGATACTTAAAAACTTAAACCAAATGAAGAAACAAACTAGTTCTTACGCGTGATCTGGGTTAGAGTTGAATCGATGCCGATAAAGTGTAGCGCACAACCAAATTGACTTCATTTGGCTAGAGCGAGTGTCGCCGTTATCGTTTGCCATCTCTTTCTTTCTTTCGTTTGTTCATGCCAACGCTTTTGATATCACTTTCCGTTTGTTCACACCGTGGTTCAACGAACAGCACTTGTCTGTGTGTGCAACACATCAGCGAAGCGGTGGAGAGATATTGGTCATTGTAACTATTCGAATAGCAATGTTGTTCCACAAATTCGATCTTCGAAATTTGGCAATTGTGATTGAGAATTGCATTGACCAAATATTTTCAATGAATTGTTAGCTTTTTTTCAAATTAAAATTTTCTGATTATGATTTATCACAATCATCATGGACTTTATAATGTCAAAAATATTTTTTACATTAATTTTCGTTTCTTTTCCATTGTTTTCTGATTTCGTATCAAATTCGAAATTGAACCTCTTTCTCTACAGTTTGCTCTCACTCGTCGAACTGTCATTTGCATGTGACAGCCACATACAACGAACAATCGTCGGCTGCCGCCAAAACGCGCATAACCAAGTGAACTATCAACGAATCGAAGTACGCATCAATTTTCGACTGAACAATTTAGTGTGTGTCCTTTTCTCAATTCCGTAGAATTTTCTAAGAAAAATGGAGCCAGCACAGAATGCACTCGAGCAAAGTTTGCGAGCGCAATTGAACGAGGCAAATCGAAGATTTCAACGCTCATCGGGTTTGAACCATGAGTTGAAAACCGAAAATGAGCGTTTGACCCTTGAAAATTACGCGTTGATTCGTCAATTGGCCGTGCTGAAGCACAAATATGAAAACATCCGAAGTGGTGCGGCAAATGTGACGAAATTTGCCAGCAATTTGGAAAACATCGTCACCAGTATTCTGCCCGATTTTCAGGCCGCGCAAGCACAGCCACCGGAACAAGTGCAACCAAAGTCCGTTGGCTATGTGCAGATGACACCGAAAGCAATGTTGTCGAGCTTGCCGACGATGACAGCATTGCAATCGACACCGAAGCCAGTGTCGGCAGTACCGGCCAACGTCAAGCAGCCGACAACCAAGCAAGTTCAATTCGCATCCAACCAAAAGCCGCAAATCAATTGTGTCAACGGAAAATCCATCGATTCGGGTGAGTTTTTGAGAACAATTTTTGGCTACATGACATTTTGGGGTTAGGATTGGTTTTTTTTTCGTGGTTTTGTATTCATTTGGCTTGAAATTTTTTGAGAATTGTTTGGTTATCGTGTTTCTTCCCGTGTGCAAATAAAATGACTAACAGTCACTCAGTTGTATGTAACTGTATGTAGTGATACACAACTAAAACTGGCTAAGTTGATTGAAATCATGCGTTTTGTATGGAGACAATCACGTTTAGATATTCTTTCAGTCAGTCGACTAATTTGGGACATTTTGACTAAGAGTGATTTGTGATTAAAGTTAACTGCAGTTGCTTATTTTGTTCGAGACAATCACTTTTAGTCAGTCAAAATGTCCCAAATTAATCGACTGAATAGTCAGTCGAAAATTTTCCACACGGGTTTGACAAGATGAGCCATTGGTAGATAAAAATCCAATTCACCGACAATTTTTGTTTGAAGTTGACCAAATCGCACGCTATTCAATGACTCTTTTTAATTGAAAGTCTATTTTATGATCTTTATTTGCGGATTTTTTTCAATTTTTCAACTGGTTTGGCAAGTTTTTGTCGAAATTCCGTCGATTCCGCTAAAAAAAGTCATACTTTGTGTCTGAATTTCCGTACTGTTAAAAAAACCGACGTTTCTTCTCAAAATTTCTTCTTTTCAAAGCAAATCGTGATCACGTTTACGCATTGAATTAATTTTACACCCAAATTTCCATCGTTTTCATTCTAAATATGGTAAATTTTATCTCCAAAGTTGTCGATGCAGCACCTAAGAATGGTTTAGAGGTCGTAAAACCGGGGGTTGTCGCCAAGAAGACGCTGCCAACTGTGGAAAATGCGCCGAAGAAAGCAGCACCGGTCGCAGAGGTCACTCCCCAGAAGATGTGCGTGATCGAAAAGGTTGCAACGAAGAAGGTAACACCGCAAAAGATGCCATCGATCATACTTGAGAGGGTGCAGCCAGTCGAAAAGAATATGGTCAAACCGGCTCTCCAACCGAAATTGGCTGAGGCTAAAAAGGATTCCAGTGAAAATTTGGTGAAGGATGTGCCAAAAATGGTAATGCCGAACCCGTTCTTGCCGATCTTGCTCGATCGAGCCAATGTGAATAAACTCAAAGGTAAATCTACATCAAAATTTCAAATTTTGTATGGTAAAAGAACCAAATCAAATTTACTTCGTAGTGATTTTTGAGACATTTGTCTAAATTTTCTCTCGAATTTCGTCTTCTTCATTGCTTCTTTTCACCTACAGCAAACTCTTCGGTCACCGTTGGTGCAAAAGCGGTTGATGCAAAATTGGTTGCGACGCCAAAGAGCAAGAAGACCAAACGCAAGGCCGAATACGATGTGTCAGACGACAACACGAAGCAGTCGCGACTCACACGTTCCAAGTCCAAGTCTGATAAAGGTATCTATCGAATTGATAACGCTTATTCCAATTATTGAATTGACTAATGATCGAATCGATTGCTTTCACACAACGCAAATTCATTACGCTGAACAATTGTCTCTGTGACAACGCAAACCGATCGAATGATGTAATTAGTGTACATAATTTCAATGGAGTTTTCCACTTACTGAACTGATTCGTTTATTTTTCTAGAAATTGTATTTTGCAAATGCGTTGTGTCAAGTTATTAGCTTCGTTATGGCATGAGTGATTGGCTTTTGTTGAATTTCGTTCACTTTCATTAGCTTTTGCTGGCTTTTTCTTGTTTTTCATGCTCTTTTCTAATTCAATTATCGTTGAACGCTAAGAAATTAGCGAAAAATAACAAAATTGAGGCGAAAGGAAAGATAAACCGCCGGAAGAGAAACAAAATGGAAAATGAGACAAATTTCGAAAAATTGCACCAAACAATTTTTTTTACAGATAACAACCAGAAATTGGGAAAGTAAAAATAGACAGAGTTAGGAATAAAGTGAAAAAATTGAATTCATGCTACCAAAAATAGAAATAGCCAAATCTTTTCCGATAAATTTCGCATTTAATCTAATTTCCACCATTATTCCACAGATGAATCAGCAACCCATGGCCCGATTCCACAGCAAACTCCTGGCGATGGCAAGAAGAAGGCTGAATCTCAGCACAAGGTCGTCACATCGACGCCACGACCGAGCTCATCGGTGCTTCTAAGCAAGAAAGTAGTCGACGGCATCGATGGTCGAAGCCAAACCATCACAATGAAGTCGGTTTCGATCAAACTCGAGTCAGTGGACAGCGCACGAACATCCGTTTACAAATCGGACAGCAAAAAGATCGCAAAGCGCCGACAAACGATGCTCATGTGAATGGAAACGAATACTGAAACAAATGCCTAGAGGTGTTCTTATTTTTCTTGAACAATTTGATTTTTTCTTTGACGTTTCATGGAGAAAACACTCCACTTTGAACACTTCCTTGAAGGAAATTTCCAGTTAATTTGAAATGTTCACGTGGCATAAAATTCCGGTTTTTTCTTTTCTAAATTTCATTTTTTTCAAAACTCAACTTTGAATTTAATTTTTTTTTCATTCCGAATTATGTTTTGGGCATTTTCCGATTTTTTTTCGTTATTCCGATCTTTTTTGTTATTTTTAATTTTTTTTGTCATTTTTCCAATTTTTTTTCATTTCAAATTTTTTCTCTAAATTCCGAATTTTCATTTGTTTTCCATGCCAAATTTAAAATACTGACACTCCAAACGGAGTTTTCGTTACAAAAGACATCAAATTGTTTACGAACAATCGAACGATTTAAACATATACACAAGAGATGTAATTCTATTTAAGCCACACAAGTGTAATTGCAGTGTGATTACGCACAGTCGCAAGAATCTCATAGTATATATTGAATAAAAATGTGAATAAAATAGCATTGAAGCGATGAAGTAATAATTAAACTCGGTGAGAATTGTTTTTGAAATTGGTTTTAGATTAAATAGCGCATTATTACAGTGGAAAAATGTGTTTGAAGCAAGAACAATTGAGATTGAAGAAATGCATTTTTTTAAATTAAGAATTGAGTCAATGGAAAATTTGGCAGTAGAAAAGGTTTAGTCGAAAAAAATTACAGTAGTAAACAAAAATACCGTGTTGTTGTATTGGACCAATACTATTAGCATGCCATTAAGCAAAAAACGATGTAAACTATTTATTTCAAGTAGCAGAAATTTCGGTCTGAAAAAAAAAATGTCTTTGGTCGCAGCGCTAAACAAGTTTCGTTTTGCATCTATTTAGACAGTGGTTGGTTTCATCCATCGAAAATTGAATTAAAGTGATGAAATCTAATTTCGTCAATTAAATTACGTTCAATTAGCAACGAATCAAAGCGAAAAAAAAGTAATGACATATTTTCAGTTGCTGACTGGTGTATCTTTAGTTGCGAAAAAAAAAAACTATTTTAAACGAATGTTCAATATCAATTAACGCATGTCACACACATAACACAGAGCCGCCCGTTGAAAATGTCACACAGCAAATATGCTTACGTATTTTAAACAACGTTGGGTTACTGCGTCATAGCAAATTGACAGAAAAACTTAATTAATTGCATTTTTTTTTTCTTTTTCTTTGTGTTGCGTTGGCGTCATGACTCAGTCACAGTGAAACTAATCGACATTCGGTCATAAGCTTGCTTAATAGGTTTGGGCTCGTCTGTTGTTATTTACTTCCTAATTGGAATAAATTCTAAATTTGGAAAATTACTATGTGGCCGCTAACGTCGACTTGACTCCACACACAACGCAATGCGATTTCGATTCATGGACAGTTGCGTGTGCGGTTGCATTGCGATATAAAAGTGCATTTCAAGTGCACTATATGGCTTTTGTTATGCAAATTCTTATCGCTGAGTGTCATTGCGAACGGGAAGCAAGTGTTTTTTTCTCTTTTTCTTTGTTTGTTTTTTTTTTCAGCTGTAAGTTAATAGTTTTATCGTCGTTGACTCATTTATGAATGACTTGTTGTTTGAAAACAAGTGTCGTTTGCACTTGAAATATGATGCCAGAGGAAATAAGGCATAACTGTAGAATAGAAGAAAAAATGAAGCAAATGTTGACTCAAGTTCGAGTGCCGAGCGCCCATTGATGAATACAACACCTTTATCTAGGTCTTTTTTTCTCGAGTTCCCACGGCAGCTGTGAAAATGACGCAACAAACAGTAGCCAGGGCTATAAAACATGGTCGGTTAATCGAACCATCAATTATATTTACATTTCTTTTGATGAAATGCAAACGATAACGCTTCACGCCAAACACTATAAATTGGATGATTTAAACCCAAAGTGTGTCTATATCAAAGCAAAACGTCTCCATTTTCGTCGGAATGGTTTTCTCGAATCGATTATGCGACCGTGTTCATTATTTAATTAGTTCAAAATTAATTAATTTTTTCTTCGACTAATTAATCACTTTCTCAAGGTTTTCTTCAATGAAGTTTATTTTCTAGATGTTTTTAGGTAATTTCGATGCTTGAACATACTTTAGAACTTAGAGCAATTACTTTTGATTTCAAAAAGAAGAAAAGTACATTTTTGGATGACACAAAACACCAAATTATATCGATGCTTTACAACGAAAGGAAAAATGGATCTTATCGAACAAAATGGAATTTTCGTATGGAATTTCCTTCAGAAGGTGAACTAAAGTCTAGAAAAAATCCAAATTCAACAAGATTTTTAATTACAAAATTTGCAGTGCAAATTGATCAATCAAAGTTTAGTTGAAAAAAAAAATTGGACGTAGCATTTCGAAATTGACGAAGAACAAATTATTGCGTTAAAATATGAGACTTAAAAAAATTCAAGAAAAATGCCAAAAAATCAAAATCAAATATTGATTACCCCAGCAAAGCAATCCAAACCTCTAAAAAACATTTTTGTAAACAAAATTCATGGTGTTTTGGTAGAAAAAATGGGCGAATTCGATATCATCCGCCTAAAAATGAATTTTTGCGGCTTCATAATTCCAACATACACCATAGAGTGGTTTTAATATCTTTGGTTGAGTAATTGGGCACATAAGCGTTGGATTGTCTGAGTATTTTATGCTTGATTTTATCTCAATGCGTGTTAAAAGACTGTTTTAAATTTAAACCGTGTCGGAATAAATTTTTGGCTTCTTCGGATGTGTATACGTCGAATATACGTATACAATCAACTCGAAGTATCAAGCAGTCTGTGGCTCTTGTTTGCGGCGAGGTAGGTCAGTTTTCACTTTTGCTGAGTTATCGATTGCACAAGAAAGTGCAATAAATCCTTCGGCTTTGAATATTGAGTGTCTTGCGATACGCTTTAAATCGATTGGCTGGCTATGGTGAAGGTAAAAAAAGTGCATTGCTGCAATGAACGATGGAAAAGTGTGAATCTCGATTTGGAGAAACGACATTCACGGCGCGCACATCACTTTCGCCACATGCATACCGTCCCAGCGCCAATCTTGAATGCAATGCAAACGAACGAGCGAATAATGCAAATTGAAAAAACGCACAAGTAAATTATCTCTTGTTCATAGAAATAAATCACAAACGTTTCAATGGTTTGTTTTATGTATTCGAGCTGGTTTTATTGGGGATAAACACAACGGCAACGTCAGTTTGAGCTTGTGCCGACGAGATTTTTCTACTTTCGCCTCGTTAAACACCTCAATGATTTCATGTTATTTAATCAAGTTTGGTGCGTGTCTGTCTAACGGCTTCATTTCTAACGATGGATGGGTTTTTGTACAAGGTTTCTATCGTGCATATACACTTTCAAGAGCCGCCACCGTCGTCGTTGCTGTCTCGAATCAAGACCTTCAACGCGCATTCATTTGCAAAAAAGCAATTAGACGAAATCGATTCAATTTAACACACGCTTCGAAAAATGTACGGGCTCGTGTAAATTATCAATAAACGAAGAGAACCTACCTTTTCGTCTCACTTCTCGTTCAAATCTCGGTTCGCTCATCCGATTCGTCGACGTTCGGTTCAATTGTTTCCTTAGTCACGATTTGGGTTTTTTTTTTGTTTCTTTATTCTTCACTTGATTCTTGATAATCTTTTTTTAGATGATCTTTTCTTTCGGAATGAAATGCTTGATTTCTTTCTTATTTTTATTCCAGGAACATTTCTTTATTCGAACAGAAAATTCTAAGAAACTTTTTTTTTATTAGGCCGTAAATTTGTATTTCACTGATTCAACAAAACACTCACACTGAATTTTTATTTTTTATGACACTTGAATCCGCCTCTATTTTACTATTCTATTGATTGATCCGCCTCGATTTTGCATTCAACAAAACAATTTTTGGTGAATAATCAACGGTTTCGACTTCGAATGGTCTTTTTTGGTCGAATTTTTGAAATTCTTCAAACGGCTCCTTTTGTGTTCATTCAAAAATAGACGTTTTTGACCAAAAATTAGCGTTCGATTGCAATTTTTCTGTGGATTAACACCTTTTCGATGAGTTCTTCGGTCAATTTGTTGAGAATTGTGAACATTTATTAAAGGTTGTGAATGTATCAGTTGATTTTATCGTAGTTTTGTTGATATTAATCAAAACTCAAGCATATCGAATGTAAAGAAATATCGGTTTTTCAACAATATTCCCAATTTTTCACACGAATCGGTTGATTTTCTTCAAAAAAAAAAAAACACACGAATTCCAAGTCGAAACATGAGTTTTTAGCGAGACTTCGGTCAGATTTGGTTCTTTTGAGTGTTTTTCTTGTCAAAGAATATCAATTTTTTAAGATTTTGTAGTCAAGTAACGATTTTTCATCAATTTTTTCAACGATTACCGGTCGACAAAGGGCTTTTGTGATTTTCAGTCCAAAGGGCAATATTTCCACTGATTTTTAGCTCAAAAATTGAATTGAATGCCAATTTTTCAATCAAAACATCAGCTCTTAAGTCAAAATAACACTCCAAATTCTTTATTTCCGTCGGAATTGTGTCGTTGTCCTTCGACTCAGTTCAAATAGTGTTCACTTCAACACGAATACTTATTTCAATGTTCAAAAACAGCGTTCATTCACAATTTCAACTGTCACTAGGCATCGTTATGGAAAATGCCAAAAGTGACCAGTGTGTGTTCGGTAGCCCAAACTAGTCTCAATCAAATAAATGCTTATTTATTCGATTTCGTCATCAATCACGGTCAAAACTAGCAAAACATTCACGAATGGAATCGAACATAACAAAGAAACACACTGAATCGATCGAAGCACATAAAGAACTGTTGCATATGAGAGAGTGTTTTGTTGTTGTTTCTCTTTGTGGTGTTTCGTTGTTGTTTAAAAAAAAAATCTCGTCTCCGGGTAAAACCAGGTAAACGATGTACTTTGTTCTCCTTCGTCGCGTTGAATCGTTTCAGTTTGTTCGCATTTTACATTCTAGTCACAATACAGCTGCAAGTTCACATACCACAGTTGCACATCGAACACAGAAAATGAATATAAACAGCACAAATCGTTCAATCGTTCATTGCAAACACAAACTTTTTTCTTATTCGATATTTGAACACGCTGTATCGTGATGATATTTCGAAGCCAAAGGTGAAATTCCACCGTCCATGAATATGTGTGTGCTTCGAACGAATAAAATGAATGAAAAAACGAATGAAAAAAAAACCAACTGATCGCTTTGAATTACTGACTATGAATGAGCACAATGAAGCAACACACAATAATTTCTCATCGACAAACTGGTTCGCTCTAGCGATTCTTTTTGACTCTCTTTGTCTCTCTTGCCGCAGCTCTCTTTTTGAGTCGCACTTTGAGTCTTTTATGTCGTTCTCTTCGTGATCGAGAGAGTCGCTCTTGTTTTGAGTGGTTGTTGTATGTCCATCTTGTGCTAGCTCTCGTATGAAGAGAGTCGAATAGCGAAGAAGAGAATCAAAGAGAGTCGTGGTTCATTCACTGGAGTATTTAGTCTTGAGTTATTTCACTTTTCACTCATATTTTGAGCACTTTTCATACCGTTTGGCGCCTATCAGTCGACAATTTATCAACCGATTTGTTGTTTAGAAATTTCATTGCTATGGCAATCACAATTATGGATAAACAATTGCCTGGCACACACAATCCATACTGAACCAAACCCGCTATTACCAGTCTCAAATCGAACACTGTGACGATAAACAACACACTTATCAATGGTCTCCGTGGACTCTTGACGCCCCTTTGGAAAAAAATTCCCATTTCCATTAGGTTAATCGGTTATTTGTCATTCGGATGTCATCCTATTCGCTGTTTGTACTGTTTTTCGAAACTGATACTTACTTTTTTGTATGGCAACACAGAAGTTACCAGAGATATTTTTGACAAGAAGCTTCCATGGCAAAAACAATAAATGATAAAAATGAACTCGATACATTGATAAAACATAGTGGAAGCGGGTGTGATTATTTACTCGGAATTGTACAGAAGATTATATGGAACAATTTGGTGTTGTGGGTTTTTATTGTCATTTCTGAAAAGTATATATACATATTTGTCGTTCATGATATGGAAAATGTAAAGATAAATCCAATCGAATTGAAAATAAAATGAATAAAATTCAATGGGTGTTTTCTTCTTCATATCGTAAACCATCCAAATTGTATTGTAATGCTGCCACATAGTGGCATGAGCCTGTAAAATATTTGAAAATTTGATAACAAAATTCACTATCGTAAACCATCCAAATTGTAACAATTGAACAAATAGACTAATTTTCTACAAAACTTTGAAGGGTAACTGTTGTTTTTGAGAAGAACACGAAAAAAACTTCCGATATGAATATATATGACTTATTTGTATTTTTTTTAGAAAAGTGATTTATTTCGAGACTATGTTACAGTTAGAACTATGTTACTATTTGGATGGTTTACGATATTTTACAGGAATTTTTGGTTGTTGCTGAAACAACAGATAGAATTAAATGGAATTTTTTTTCCTCTGACTGGCAATGGTTTATCACAAGAATGTCATGATTCTGTTTTTCGTGCAATGAAATTTCATCATTGCAGGTTTTATCTTCTCAACCCACTTACCGTTACACACGATGGATTTTTCCGAAAAATTCAAAAACATTCTTTTCGACGTAAATATTTGTGTATTCGTACAAAAATCATTTGTTTTAAGAAATAATTTGCTTTTAGGGGCGTGAAACTCATCAAATTTAATCATTGGATTCAAAATGTATGAAATTAGAATGCTTTGGTTTTTTCCGTTCGAAAAATAAAGGAACTCCATTACGTGAACAATTGTTATTAAATAAATTTATGAAGATCTCCACCGAATAATCAAACGAGGGATTAAACAATTTAAAAAGAGATTAAAATCTTTATTTCTAACTCCTAGATTGCATTTTCAAAACGATCTAGCACGTAAAGTAATGGTTTGAACGAGAGTTCTATATCAAAATATCCAATGTTTCGGCTCATAAAAATTATTTTATTCTCATGTCATTTTGTGTTTGAAAATTTTCATTTTTCGGTGGAAATTGAGTTTTATTGCTTAAATATGTGAAGCAAAGTAGTATGGAACACTTCAAAAGGAACTTATTTGGAGTAATTCGGGTCATCTTCTCCATAGGGCATACTGTGCAGGCTAAATGATTTAGTTATATTTAGTAGTTATTACATGGCCATCATGTTAGTATTGCAGAACCATGTCCCTGGAACAAAAAATCAGATTAGAAATAGGGTATTGGGAGTAATCGAATGTAATAATTGGAAGCTCATGAGAGCTTGTGGGCAAATTAGGATAGGTGAAAAAATTACCATTAACAATTAATAATAATTATTCAAGTTATTCATATCGATAATTCGTTGAATATCCATTGGTGTTAGGTTCATTTGGTTGGCAAATGAAATATTTGGCATCACCAAGGCCGAAGTCCCATTAGCTGCATCTTCAATTGAAATATTTGATTTAGGTTGAACTGCAGGTGTATCAACTGGTATTTGAATTGAATTGTTTGCTGGTAAAATTACTTGGTTTATTGACGGATTAGTAAGCATTGTTTGCATAGCTTGCATATCCAATCCACTAACATTAACACCGCTTGCCGATCCGCTTGTTACTCCATTCTGAAGCGCCCCGTTGTCAGTGTTTGCATTTGAAAGTGCACTATTTGGCAACCGTGTACTCAACTGAAAGAGAAATCACCAAATGTAATTCGAATTTTATATTTTTTTCGGTAAAAACTTAGATTTAACTGTGATTCTTTGCTTAAAATGCTTAACATTCGTTTATTTAAGAATTGAACGCATTGATTTATTTACATCGAAGGTTATTGTAACAAATAAATTAAAACTTATAGCATAAGCATGACCCGAATCAATTTGATATCTATTCGGCTCGGATTTTACGAAAATATCCTGAATATTTGTTCTAATGGATTGCGATTTATCATATTTTTGGCAATTTCGTTTTCTCTTCTCTCTTTTCTTTCTTTCAGATAATTTCCCGAACCAATTTAAAAAAAAAAATCGAGGCATGCACTTTGTAGCACAATTAAAAGCAATCTTAATTTAAATTCCATCATAAGATCTATGGGTATGATGATCGTTGAGTTCTTCGAGATGGTACGGCAAATCGATGCGGTTGAGTAATTCTAACCGATTGGCGTAAGCTTTTTTTCTTTTTTTGAACGTAAACAAAGATGAGAATTCCAATGGTAAGACCAATCAAAAGATAGCCAAAAATGTAAAAGTGGACAGTAGGAAACGATGCCTGCGCCAATTGTTGCTCTTGTATATTGCTTAAAATTTCCTGAATCGTGGTCGTTGTACCAGCATCCTGAAAGTGAATAATATTTGATTTTGTCGATATAAAGGATTTTGATATTCTTTTCTAACATTATTGAACTTTTCATCGCGTTTTCTATCACATTTTCAATCACTTTTTCTGCTTTATACGCTAATACATTGATTTACTGCTATGCGCACTCACACACACACACACACATTTCTATCGCATTAACCCTTATCTCTAAATCTCAAATTGAGATGATTTTGTGCATAAAAATGAATAGCTTTAACGAAGCAAACATAAGAAAAGCAATAAATTACCGTGTTCTGTGGTTGAGTTGGTGCGACAGTATTTTGAGTTGGCTGTGGTTGAACCAAAGGAGGCGTAAAGGCACTCGTTGGGATGGCCAATTGCTGCATTTGAGTTAGCGATGGTGTGACAGTATTCTGAATTGGTTGCTGTGGAGCTTGAACCATTGGCATTGATGCGATAACATTCGAAATCGATTGCGGCTGAGGTTGAATTGACGGAGATGGAAAAAAGTTCATCAAAGTTGGCGACTGTTGACCTTGAATCGGTTGCTGTTGGACTTGAGTTGAAGGCGATGGGAAGAAATTCACCGGAATTGGAGATTGCTGGGCTTGAATCATGGGCGATGTTGCGACATTATTTGAAATTGGTTGTTGCTGAGGTTGGATTGATGGAGATGGAAAGAAGTTCATCAAAGTTGACGGTTGCTGAGCTTGTACTGTAGGAGATGGGAAGAAGTTCATTGGAATTCGCTGTTGCAGAGCTTGAAGCATCTGTGATGGTGAAAAAGTATTCTGAATTGGTTGCTGCTGTGGTGGAATTGATGGAGTTGGGAAAAAATTCGCCAAATTTTGTGGTTGCTGAGCTTGAACTACAGAGGGTGAGAAAAGACTCGGTGGCTGTTGAACTTGACCAACTGGTGTGGATGCAACAGCGTTTAATGGTTGGCTGAATTGCTGAGGTTGATTTTGAGATGGTGCGCCAACATTCCCTGGCTGCTGCTGCTGCTGCTGATTTTGAGCTGGAGACTGTATGACAATATTGATTGGTAATGGTTGCTGCTGAGCTTGAGGCCGAGGTTGAGGCTGAGCTGGAGGTGGTGGTGGTGGTGGTGATGGTGATGGTGTGGCCGTGGTTTGAAGCTGCTGTACTTGGTTAGCCAGTTGTAGCAATCGAACCTTTGTAAAAATATATCGTTGAAAAAAAAGCGAAAAATTGGTCATAAATCAATTTACCGCATTGACAACGGGATTCTGAGTTGTGGTTGTTTGAAGGTTTGCTTGAGCTTGTTGTTGAACTGGTTGTTGAACTGGAACTGTAACTACCACTGGAGAAGCGTATGGAATCTAGCAAAATTGTATAGAAGAAGAAAAATTTGTGTTTCCAAAAGAAAGTGGAGTTTAACTCAATACCTGTCCAGCAGATGCTTGTAATCGCTGTGCAATGTATGCTCTTTTTAACGCTTTCAACGATGGATATGGCACATTTGGATAAATTGGAAACTGTGAATATACACCATTCAGAACCGTTGGCAAATTGGTCACTACTCCATTTGCCGTTATCACTTGATTCGTATTCAATTGCTGTGGACAAAAGTCAGATTTTCTTTAATTCTCAAAACCTTTCAATAGAACAAACAATTTGAACTAACTCTGGTTACTGGAATTTGTACAGGCACACCATTAACGAATGTAACCAATCTTTGTGGTCCCACAATGAAATTTTGCGCAGCTCTCCTATGTCGATTTTTCGGAATCGAAAATTCATTTTCATTCGCCTCATTCACAGATGATATTGAATTCGTTGTGGATTGTTCAAACTTTGAAGATGTGACTTTTGCATAGGTCGTTAGCACTAGTAAACATAAACACACGAAAGTCTGAAATGAAAAAAAAAATATGAATAAAACTACATTGTTAACCAATTTTCAATATAAAAATCCAGATTGTCAGATTGAATCAAAATTTCGTTATTATAGCAAATGAACATTGTCAAAACGTGCTAGGTAGGAGAAGTAATGCCAAAATTATTTGTGTACGAAATTTCATTCGCCGACAGTGCGCCCATATGAGTTTTTCTACTAAAAAACAGAAACGGTGCGATTTTTGTGTGATTGACATCGAATGATGAATTCGGTAAAAGATACGAATGAATGTTTTCCACACAATTCGTTGAACTCAGTGTGAAAATAATATTTTTTCACACATTCCATAATGCATCTTCTTGCAGCTTCCACTAAATTTGTATTCAACGCTCGATTTCCTACTTATGCCAGAAAAAATTAATTTTCATTTCCTCTGGGGCTATCAAACGTAAAAACGAATGCGTATCGAAACAATAACAACCGTGTTTACGCTTGGCGCTCATTGCTTTGTTTCACGTGCAGTACAAAAAATGCACGCCTTCACGTTTTTTAGTATATTTTTCATTTTTATTGAACATTTGTTCGAGTTTAACTTGGAATTTCCGAACCGTTGTCTTTTGAGTGAGCGAAAAGAGCAAATAGCTTTACATAGGTGAGTCGAACTCACAATGTCTATGGAACGATGTGATATGTGGCGCAACTAGGTGATGGCCGCAGAAGTTCTGTCAAAATTCATACACAACCAACTTGACATTCGGTTACATAGTTCAGCTAACCCATAGTACATCCATCCATGGGCTAGGTGCGCCACCAGCGTGAAAAAATTTGACAGTATATGATTAATACACAGCACATTGTGAGTTCGGGTGAGTCCAAATGCTTTGAGCGCTATGTTTACTGTTGAGTGTATATGTAATGTCAAATCACATTATTCGTTAAAGTATTGTCAGCATTTTTGTCGTAGGTTCGGTGTCTGATTGAAAGACTTTTAACAATCTTGGATTCGTAGCTCTTTTGTCGGGAGAGTCAGCAATTGTTTATTGAATAATAACAAAATTAATTCATTATGTCTATTAAACAATCAATAAAATGAACTTCGAAATGCGCCTCACAAAACTAAACTTCCAATTCAAATCAATTCGATTGAGAAAGTCGAAATTTATTCATAAAAAAGATTTTCGCTCCATAAACTGACAAAAGTCAAAACTTACGAGCAATTTGGTGCTTATCATGCTGGTTCGGCTGAGAAAACACTTTTCACTTGAAAACAACGGAAAAAAAATCAAACGAACAAATTACACACAACGTCTATCCACAAATACAATTACTCTCTTCAAAGCAAAATAACCGACTGTTTGGAAATTGAAGAAAACGATTGAATTTATATACTCCAATCCATCGCAACAAATGTAAAAACTATATTCATAAGTAGATTAATTAATTCCGATTGAATATTTGAAACAACATTGCTTTTTATTCAAAACACCATTAAAGAAATGCCAAAAAAGAACTTCGATCGTTTTTTTCAATGGCATGCAAAGGTGTATTCATTCATGAAACAGTGGTCATTACCAATGGCGATTAAACATGTAAACAAAGTGTAGAGTGAAAATAGACTTACGTGCATCAGTTAATTGTATTGCATATTTCCAAAGTGCAAGATACATAAACGAAAGTGAATACACTTGCCTTACTTATCATGATTATACATACCGAATCGTTGGGTAGTCATTGAATGGCTGTTACAGAAAAAGAGTGCATGAGAAGCGCATAAAGAATAGCTGAAGATCATTCGAACGTGAAAACACTTTTTATGGCATGCATTATGGAACGATTACTGGTGAATGCGGTAAATTCCGCATTTTATCCAATAATATTAATGATCTTGAGGCATTTTTATCACAAATAACGTCTTTTGTTTTTTCGGCAAGCTTAGTTTTTTAGACTCATCTGCAGAAGCCATTGGCTTCTTCGTTTTTCTTTAGAAAAATTCTTCTTTATGCGTTCCGATTTAACAGCTGGAGATCGATTGATACTTGACATTCGTTACTCAGGAGCGTCTTTAATTTTCAATTATTTCAATCTTCATAAATAAATAAAAAAAAGTCATCGAATTTGCTGTACCAACATTTATTCATATATACCAATTGATTTATAACATGAAAATATGTGTTTTTTTACATGATTTTGCGTTTTTTTTTGCTATTTAATCGAATGGAAATACTGAGTTCTAGTTATGTTGCTGTTCACATTTTCTGTTTGTTATTGATTCGAATTGATGTTTCTTCTTTATTTTGTATTACTTCTAGTCAATGTCAGCTTTTATTCACAATTTTATAGGGGATGGTCTGGCTCTTGTGGATATGTCTTTACATTTTTAAATCGAGCTCGCCTATTGTAATTCATTTATTTTTTTATTTCTTTTCGAAACTTTCTCTTAGATACAATTCTTTTTCTTTCAGGGAATGAATGCGATTTCTGAATTTGTGGATCAGATTTTCATGTAAATGTTTTTTTTTTCTGATTTCAACCTTCATTGGATTTGTGATTTTTTTTTAGTTCTGGCTCTTTTGAATCTATTTTTGTCAGATATAATTTTATAATTAGAATATTTCAATTCAATTTTTGCTACCTCATCAAGTTGGAAAAGCTGATGTTACTGCTTACGATTTTTATTTGATTTCGATTCGTAAAGATACTTTTGTCTTGATTGGGTGGTTTTCATCGTGGGAATTTAATGTCCAAATCGGCTGGAGTTCAAATGCCGATTTTGTTTGCGAGTTCCAATGTAGCATTGAACGACCCATCGATTGATGCCTGCCATTCGTTGCCCAGCAGTGTTACGCAAACGAGAACGGAATGTTTTCAATGACTTGCAATTGTCAATGAATGAAAGCATCGAGTAAGCTGAGAGTTCAAAGCGATGAACGGTGGCATTCTGCAATCGAGGCAATGCGGTAGCAATATTTATGCTCTCTTCGTACGATAATTTTTGATTGTCACACGACGTTTCTAAATTCAGTTTGGTAATGGACTGGTGTGCTTCAAAGAAATCAATGAGATTTTGACCGATTGAAGGCATCGCAAGTTTGTATTTAAATTCTTCAAGTCGATCGGATGCGAAAGGAATTTTGCCGGAATTTGGTGTGAAAGTGAACTGGTTATCAATTTGCAAATGTTTTAGATTTTCAAAATTAACAATATCGTCCGTAAAATTGAAAAAATCACCGTCACAAATGATACGGAGATGCTCTAGATTTAATAGGTATTGGGTAACATCACGAAGAATTCCCCTCCAACAATTCGTACTCAATGCTAGGCTCACAATTTGTGGATTCAAACGGACAGAATTTATAACACTTTTAGCTAAAAATTCTGATGTTTCCTTGAAAGTCAGACACCGCAGTTTCGGGAAGTTTATCTCTATGCAATCGAAATTTGGAGCATTTAAAAGACGGTTTTCATGTGACCAAGAGATGCTATTGAATGTAATTTCGGACCACGATTCGAAACAAAATTCATTGACATAATGAAAGATTTTGCTTTGAATACGCGGAAATATTGCACCATAATGATAATCTTCCCAAATTACCATTAGTTTCTTAATCAAGCAACCAAAGCATCGCAAGAGTTGCAACGATGTTCGGATAATATATATTTCAATCGAATATTTGTCCACCATGTGTTTACGACTGCTGCATACGAACTCAATTACCAAACTGATTGTCTTTTTTCCAAACTTGCGTTCGAATGCTCTGTCAGCGCCTGATTTCAATCCTTTGTTCGTGTGAGCTATGTTGAGAAGGTCATCGAGGCTCAAATACATGAAAATGCTCTCTAGGCAATCATCAATGACGTCAGTGAGTTTAGTTTGGAATGGATGTGGTTCCCTGTCGGTCTCGGTTTTCTTTTCTTTTGGCTGTTCATCAACTTCTTCGTCATGTTGACTCATTTTGCTCGTTGAATGTACCTGAATTAGGAAATAGAATCATATGAGGTGCTATCAATTACTTTTGAAGCTATTTCAATAATCATTACAAAAAAAAAATGGAGTATCATCACCAAAATACGAGCAATCATCGTACTGAGCCGTTAATGAGTTGCCTACCTTTGTAAAAATTCTCAACTAGAACCCAACACTATCTGAAATTTTTGATTTATTCTCTATTTGTTCTTCTCCGATAAATGTAGTCTGAATTTCATTTAAACTAAAGAACTCTTCTGCTACATTTACAGCAAAAATACTCAATTTTCAGGGCACATTCCACACGTACATGCAACAAAGACGATGCAACTAAAAATGAACATTAATTTGCCGTCACATGAGATACTCGTACGAAACGTCAACCGGTGCTGCCACCATTTCGTATAGTTGAATCGTATATAGTCCCGTTTCGAAAGGATTTTGCTTCCGCACATTACGAATTTTAAATTGATTTCATCAAAAGATAAAAACCAGTTTTGGAATGTTATATTAAGGATTCATTTTCATAAAATTGTATGACAACTGACTTTTTTTCATAAAACAAAGCAAAATTAAAAATAAGAAGATTGTATGAAGATTTCTGCGAAATTTTCGATTCGGTTTCGGTTTCAGTCGTTGACAGGTTTGTTGCCATTCATTCATTCCAAAGTCATCGCTATGCTTCGCAGATGTTGCGTTCGACTCTGACGCATCGATTGTTGATGGTGGCTTTCCATTTTTCACCAAGTCGGATTTTCAGGATGTCTAATTGAAGCTGATTTCCGTAGGAGAAGCTATACTTCAACAAATTGAATTTGACCAATAAATCAACCAATTCATCGATTGAAAAGATGACACCGAAAAAGTTGAGCTCGTTCAACAGCGGCAACGTTTGAACGATTTCGGTCAGAACACGTTCATTGATGGCTTGTTTGTTGTTATTCGATGTTTGTACAGTCAATCTTTCAATGGATTGATATCTTGCGAGAAAATTGGTTATTCTATTGTACCAGTTGTTCCAGCGCAAGTCAAGTGTGACATCCACAAGTCGATCGAATGAGAGTTTACCGATGGACTCAAAAGGCCTCATTTTACCAAGAAAACCGATTTCCAATTTCGTCACTGTCTTGAAATTGGTGTTGTGAAGAACAAGAAAATCGTTTGAATAACCACAAACCTTAAGGTAAACCAATTGTTGCAAACATTTGCTTGCACAATTTAGAAGAGAAGATGAAAAAGAATAAAAAGGTTCAAAAGAACGGTTCAATTTTGGATCAGCTCGTAGATTCAAAGAAAAACTGCGCAGCTGTGAATTGCGTCGCAGAAATTCTCGAACGGGCTTCACTTGCATTTTACCACCGCAAACGAGGCCCAAGTGTTCCAAAGGAGGGATTTGCTTCTCGATCGTGCCGCTATCAACAAATCGGTTGCTATTCAATTCCAATCGACGCATTGCCGGAAACCATGCATTGAAATCCATCGTACCCACGTTGAAGGAGCACTTGAACAATTCAACGTTTTCAACTTTTGCAAATGGCTTTGTGATCACTGAATCAAATACACTGTCCCCTATGTAATGCAATGATAGTTCGGTCAAGGATTCCGAGCAGTATTCTGTTGTGTGGCAAAACACACGGTTGATTATACGGCTACGAAGTGAAGCATCAATTGTCTGCAGTGCATCGATTTGAAGACTAGTGATCAAGTGCCCGAAGCAGCGCAATAGTTGCAATGAAGATTTTTGTTGACAAATAGAATTCCACAATTAATACGGAGAGAGAAAAAGAGGAAACACTGTGAGACACTTGCAAAGTGAGGCGAATTTCAATTGGTACTTGTTGACAACTTTATTCACATGATTAACAACAGACTTGAATTTGCCTATTGCAAAGAACGATCATAAAGTTTTATTTCTTTTCAATTTTTCGCTCTTGTAACTCTTGGCACAAAATGTCTCTTTTCCGAATAAAAAAAAGTATTTTCACTGAGAGCCAATTTTATTGCGCAATTCAGTTCGTGTATTGTGAAATAAAAGGACTGACGAATGTTGCGTGGAATAATGAAAATGTAACAAATGTATACCGTCCCAGTTGATGCTCAGAAAAATCGAAAAAAAGTTCATTGAATCGACGATTTTTTACCCGATCTTGAAGAAAAAAAGTTTTATTCCTTGAAACACGATGCTTTTACTAAAAAATGTGCGCTAATAATGAAATTATTGGCCAAAAACTGAGGAGAATTTGGTATTGCGCAATTTTATTCAATGAAACATGGCGAACTGTACGACAAAAAGTGAGGAAATATTCTGCGTATTTGTCGCTGGACAGCGGCTCCTATGTAATGTCACTGTTTCGGTATTTTTCTTACACACAACCACCCGTATGACGATGATAGGAAAGCGGCAACGTGGAGAATTGTCAGCTTGGCAGTCATTTAATCAATTTCTCCACAGTCTCTCCGAATTTCGAACATGATCGAAGATGTTTGAATTGAATGCGCATTCAATGAAACTTCAGTTGAAATGAATTAATCACATCATTGAAGTTTCCTAAAATTGCAACAAATTGAAATGTTTTTGTGTTTCTTAAGAGACTCACTTGTCTGAATTTCATCAACACAGAATTAATTTGCAAAATGTTTCACAAATTTCTATTTTCAATTACATTGAATGACATACGATGGAATATTCAAGACGATTCAATAGTGCAAGACTAGCAATAAGTGTGCAATGTGCATATTATACAAACCTCTGTGAAAAATCGGTCACTTTAACTAAAACTTGGAGGCGGTTGGTCAATTCCCAAGTTTGAATGAATTTTCTGGGCCTATGAGCCAGGGGCTTTCTAGCGATACTTCATAAATACCAGATGGCCTCTTAGGAAAAAAGTTCGAAATTGCGTGTATATATAGGCGAGTTCGACTTTCAGCACATAGGTGCTTTCGTCACTCGCGCCTGCTGTCGCCGGCTGTGATTCATTTCAATTTACTCTTGATATTTTGATGTATGGAAGCATTATTCATTTGCAGTTAAATGATATTCAATATCTCGTTGTTATTTTGAAATTTATACTGTTGGAGTCAAATTGTGATTACATTGGAATGCATATAAAGTCGCTTAAGTAGACAGTAAACATTCTTATCATAATATTTTTCTACAGAGAATTGATGAATAATCGAATATTTTTATAAATGTTTACGAAGTCCATTCTTGAGAAGGTGAAACTTTACTGTGCCTTAAGATTTGATAAGAGTCAATCACGATTGTATTGTGTGTCGGTGTCGACTCTTGCCTGGTATAAAATAATACACAAGTCTGTTCATTGTCATCAGTTAGTTTAATTTGTTAGTTAAAAGACGTTGAAGAACAATGGGAATTTCCCGTGAAAAATATAAAATTGGATTTCTGGTTTTCGTGTTCATCGGAATCATTGGCCATAGTGCAATGGTCGATGCCCAAAATCACTGTTTCGCATTAGGTAGTTGAAATTGCAACTAAAATTCATAATTAAATGTATAGAATTGACAATATATTTTTTTTGATGTAGCTAACCATTGCGGTACATTCTGGTACCCTCATACATGCTGGGGCTATTGCGCTTCCAACTCAAACTGGTGTTTTGATAATAACTCATCTTGCAATAGAGATTCCGATTGTAATAACATAATCGAATGTAAATCTTGTAATTGTTAAAAACCTGATAAAAATGGGTACACTCCAATCATTTGCTCGCTTATCATTGCATGTTGTCGATAGTTTTTTTCCAGCAAATTGTAATCGAATGGATATCAAATAAAAATCAGAGCACAAAATGTCTCTTTTCCGAATAAAAAAAAGTATTTTCACTGAGAACCAATTTTATTGCGCAATTCAGTTCGTGTTCCGTCAGTTCCTCATGATGCTCTTTTAAAAGTTTGTGAATCGTATGGTTTTTCTAATAGCGCGGTTAAATTAATTAAATCAATTTATAGTAACATTCAGCAAAAAGTTAAAGTCGGTGATCAAGAGTCAAATTTTGTTCCAATTAATAATGGAGTATTGCAAGGTAGTAATTTCGGCCAAACTTTCTTCTCTCTTTACTTTAATGATACTCTCAATGTGTTTGAAAATATGAAAGGCCATTTGTTCGCGGATGATTGTCAAGCACATATCGAAGTGGATTTTGATAAAATTAACGACGGTATCGATAAAATAAACTCGGACCTTGCCAAATTGAATGATTTTCTTAAACGTCGCGGTATGATTATAAATAGTTTAAAGTCAAAAGTAATGATCATTGGATCAAAGCATCAAACGGGTCGGTTGAATTTTGATATGATCAATGAAGTGAAATTAGGTGATGAAACAATCGAATTCTGTAAGTCAATAAAGAACCTTGGTGTTATTTTTGACGAAAACTTTACTTTTCAAGAACATGACAAGTGTAAATTGCAAAAAGTGTATGGCGTGTTGAATCGCATCCGTCACACTAAACGCTTTATTACGTCAAACGTGATATGGCTGTAGCTCTGATAGATCCCATAATGGATTATAGAAGTGTGGTAACATACGGCTGGTACGCCCACAGCACCCAAAACCAGGTGCACCGTGATCTTGTTGCTGATAACGACAAGATTCGCTACATTTACGGATTAAAACGTAATGATCATGTTACTGAATATCGTGAACGTTTGAGTGGATTGACTCCTGAGAGCAGAGCAAAACTGCAATCAGCAGTCTTGATATTCAAGCAGTTGTCGAATTGTTCGCCTGAGTATCTGAATCGCATGTTTGTTCGTAATGGTGAATCGTCACGTTATCCAGATAATCTTCGCATGAATTTCAGTCCGCGTACTGCATTTGATACTCGCGCATTTAGTTTCTCTGCAATCAATTTTTGGAATAGTATATCGGTCGAAATTAGAAATTCTAAATCTCTAGTCGCGTTTAAAAATAACCTAAAGCATCTGTTACGTTCCACGCAGTAAATTTTTAGATATTTTTCAAATAGTGAAATACTCGGACCATTGTTATGAAATTTCGTATCCAATTTAGATTAAGTTTGACTTTTCATTTGATTTTTCTCATTGATGTTAACGTACTTTAATTGCAAAAACTCATCATCATTGTATTTCCCCTGGTTTTCCAGAATCAAGCCGGTTTTACCATGGTTTTCCTGACCCAATTCTGGTATGAAAGCCTCACTTTTATATCATCCCTCCCCTGACTGTATTCTCTTTGCAAAAGACGCACCATGGGCGGAATTTATGCCGTATTGGGTCTCTGACCAGCATGTTCTCAGCTTGCTGGGAACACATATTGGCATAAATGTAGGCTTCGTAATAAATAAATAAATAAATAAGTGTATTGTGAAATAAAGAGACTGACGAATGTTGCGTGGAATAATAAAAATCTAACAAATGTATACCGTCCCAGTTGATGTCCAGAAAAATCGAAAAAAAATTCAATGAATCGACGATTTTTTGCCCGATCTTGAAGAAAAAAAGTTCTATTTCTTGAAACACGATGCTTTTACAAAAAAATGTGCGCCAATAATGAAATTATTAGCCAAAAACTGCGGAGAATTTGGTATTGCGCAATTTTATTCAATGAAACATGGCGAACTGTACGACGAAAAGTGAGAAAATATTCTGCGTATTTGTTGCTGGACAGCGGCTCCTATGTAATGTTTCGGTATTTTTCTTACACACAATCACACGTATGACGATGATAGGAAAGCGGCAAAGTGGAGAATTGTCAGCTTGGCAGTCATTTAATCAATTTCTCCACAGTCTCTCCGAATTTCGAACATGATCGAAGATGTTTGAATTGAATGCGCATTCAATGGAACTTCAGTTGAAATGAATTAATCACATCATTGAAGTTTCCTAAAATTACAACAAATCGAAATGATTTTGTGTTTCTTAAGAGACTCACTTGTCTGAATTTCATCAACACAGAATTAATATGCAAAATGTTTCACAAATTTCTATTTTCACTTACATTGAATGACATACGATGGAATATTCAAGACGATTCAATAGTGCAAGACTAGCAATAAGTGTGCAATGTGCATATTATACAAACCTCTGATTTGCTCTGAAGGAAAATTTACTTTATTTCATCGAATGGAAATGCTGAGTACTATTGTAGATTGCTTATGACCTCTTTATACGCTTCACGATGATCTCTGTGCATTTGTGTTTGTTGCTATTTACGTTCTATATCTCTTTCCCATGCCTGCGACCGAAAAACATCGTAACGTATGGTTTAAACACAACTGTGTGTATTATTATCAGTAAGTATCTTGGGGATTTTTCCATGATTCAGAATAGCATTTCTTAGCGAGCGAACAAGTAAAATGTGGGAAATTAAACAAAGAAAGTTAAAAAGAAATTTTTTTTTTCAGTGGGACATATAAATCAAGTATTAAATTATGATTATTTGTTGAATGAATAAAATAATAAACTTTGTTTATTAATTGGACTTAAAACTACGCAGTTATTTGTCAACGGTTATTTGTTCCAACAAAATTGCTGATAATCGCCGCATTACTCAATTGCAAAAAATGTACTGGCCCAAATAAATAAAGTCATGAACATCATTGTGAATGAATGAATGACTGAATGTCAAAGTCAGCTAAGTTCTTTTGAATAAATTCGTTCTTTCGAAAATTTCGTTGCTTGGGTGTATTCTTGAAGAATTTCGCCTAATCTATATTTTTTCGATGACAAGACACAAAAATGTACAAGTGCTGAGATAATGAGAAGGCGATGATGACAGAAAATGATGAGAAAATTAACCCATTAGCCGCGACGATGTCTTATGGCATCAGTTTTATGTCAGTCAAATTTCAGCGCGAGATGGGTTAAGTAAAAAATGGAATCACTAAAATAAAATTTATATAGAAATCCATAAAAATAGAATACAGTAATACCGATAACTCGCTGATGATAAACACAGTTGTGTGTATATGCCTTACATCACACTCAGGTGTTTTTCAGTGGCAAGCAAGAGAAGAGATAAAGAACGTAAAAAGCAAACACAGGCGTATAGACATCACTGCCAATCGCAGTTCAGTCGCAATTGTATTTAATTTGAAGCGCACACAAAACGCTACCGAAAATTTATACAAGTCATATGAAATAATATATGTGTTCTAATTTAAAGTATTGGAAGGATATTTTTTTAATTCGAAAAATAGACCATTCTCAGTGAACTTAGTTGATGGTTTTGTGGTCAATTTGGTTCTGGAAAAAATTGAAAACGATCGGAAATTTACAAGTGTAAGATAGAAAGGTGCAAAGATGTGAAATAGCTGATTATGTTTTTGAATTTCCGTTTAAATAATAGTTCGACACATACAAATAGCCATCATTGTCTTGTTTTAGTCCAATCACATTTTTCTATCATCACTCGGGGGAATTGTACATATTTGTGTAACTGATTGAATATTCTACGAAGTATCATGACTGCAAGAATAATTTTACTGTTCTTGCAGTTTAGGACTCTATCCAGAGCGGTCAACGAGCGCTCGTTCGTTCGTTCGTATGCGAACATGTTCGTTCGTTCGTTCGTTCGTAGAATCTGCGAACATGTTCGTTTGTTCGTTCGTTCGTTCGTAGGTAAAATTTCATTTTTTTTTTCAAACATAAAATTTTCTTATTTCTTAAAAAAATATAGGAATGATCCTATGTACTCAATAATACTGTAAGCACTATAATACTGTAATTTACAAGTTGTGAACATTATTTTCGCACAAAAAATTTAACGAATATTTTTTTGAGTTTCCACTTGCGCAATTGAATGCATAAAACTAATTAAAAACATCTTCACTCAACAAAAAACATCGCTGAAAATCTTACTTTCACTCATTGTGGTTTGTGTGTCCGCTGGCGAGAATAGAATGATATGATAATTAGCTGGACATGAACGTGGAAGTTGTAAAATGATGAAAGTAATGCATACAGAGAGAGAGAGAGAGAGAGAGAGAGAGAGAGATAAAAATGACAAAGACAGCAAAGTTCATCTCTTTTTGTCATTTATGGTGTGCAATTCAGAGAGACTTGTTGCAGTGATGATTTAAATCACATGGACGTTCAAACAGTGTGTGTTTTACGCACTGTGTTAAATCGCCACGTGCAAAACAGTTATACGTTTAGACAATGTTTTGTTCTGTGATCGTACAACACACACAGTTCGAGAGACAACGTGCTTCATGATATCACAGCAACAAGACGAATCTGAAATGTGCACACCATACTTGGCAAAAAGAGATGAACACTGTCTTTGTCACTTTTTCTATCTCTCTGCATCACTTTCTTCGTTTCACAACATTTGAAACCAGCATTATTATTGCTTATTGCATTATTATGCATCCAATTGTGCAAGTGGAAACTCAAAAAAATATTCGTTCAATTTTTTGTGCGAAAATAATGTTCACAACTTGAAAATTACAGTATTACAGTGCTTACAGTATTATTGAGTACATAAGATCATTCCTATATTTTTTTAAGAAATAAGAAAATTTTATGTTTGAAAAAAAAATGAAATTTTACCTACGAACGAACGAACAAACGAACATGTTCGTAGATTCTACGAACGAACGAACGAACGAACGAA